AGTTTCCTCTGTAAAATGCTGCACGGGGTGTGTTCTCGTGAAGACAAAATCCGGTGACGCACGGCGCTGGCCCTGGTGCTGGTGTTGGAACGAGGGGATCTCTTCTGTCACACACGACCCAGTGGCTAAACATCTGGCAGCTGTTTAGGGGTGCCATTTCCTCTCTGGGGTGTTAACTTGTGAGGTGACCTGGGCTCTGGTCCAGTTTGATGTCTATTTACTTGCATGTTTGATTGGTTTCAGGAACTGGCCAGAAAATATTTTCATACCCAGTTTGGTGACTGGTTGTTGTTTGAAAAGATGCAGGATTTTTGGCTTGAATCACATGACGTGCATCCTTAGAACCACAGTCCGTTCTTCCTGTGACCACCCCGGGCCTCTGTGAGACGCCGCGTCCCCACGGCGCTCGCACGCGAAGCGGGGTGTCCCTTCCGTGTGCATCGGGGTATTGGCCTTGCGCGTCTGTTCCAGGAGAGCCCGGGTGGACGCGCTGTTGACTCTGAGAAACACGGTCCCTGCACGTGGCGGGCGGCGAGGAAGCACGGGCGCCCGTTGTCAGGCGATGGCGTGACAGGGAGAGGGAGTCGGCGACCTTTGTCGGCTGATGCTTGTTTCCATCCAGGGGGCTCTTTCTCTGTCGTGTGGCCGTGTTTACATTCAAGAACGCCCCAGTGACTGAGTGCTGAGCTTGTTTCATGTCACTGAAAGCAAACCGACCCTGCCGCTGGGCTCCGTGCCAAGGCGAGAACACGGCGGGCTCCTGTTACCCTCCCCTCGAAGGACGACTGAGCTTAAGGCGGCCCCGGCTGGACCCATCGCAGTGAGTCTGCGCCGCACGGGGGACTAAGAGCCAGACCTATCTCGGTGTTGTAACAGCTCTGGCGCCTACTAGTTGTTTGCTTCGAACCAATTAAACTCTCTGAGCCTCAGTTTCCTCCTCTCTAAAATGGGTACAGTAGCACTTCTTTGCAGGGTAACTGGAAAGAGTAAATGTAACAACATATGGAAACTGTCTGAGCGTGCTTACGGCACATGGCAAGTTTATCGCTACAATATTTTCGAATGCAATTTAGTTTGTGAAGTGTTTATAGTACGGGCGTATACATCTGCACCGGCCTTTCTTGCTTGTTAAAGTCACGGCCATTTGAAAAGAAAGACACAGTCAGCAGGAACAGCTCCAGTGCATTGGAGGGAAAGAATTGGATGGACCCTGGACTGCGGGGACCACCTGGGGGTTGAGTCATGATCGCCGGAGTGTTTTCAAACACATTTTTCAGCGAGCAATGTTGACTTTTGTGGCTGGGAACTAGGTACCTGCTGAGGGGAAGAAAAGATCCCCAGTACACGCCTGTCTTCTTTGAAAAGAAGCGTGTTTTCAGCATCCTTTTGGACCGTCAGTGTACGGATGACGCTTTCGTCAGAAATCCACACTCTAAAGAAACGTTATTTTCTGTGCTCGTGTTACGTCTGGGGCCAGGACCAGGTGGCACCTTGCCTTCCCGATGAAAGAGCAATAAAAGGCCACCTTCCCCTTAGGTGTGTTGACGGCCTCGGAAGTCAGCCCTGCTGATTCACAAAACGATAAAATCCTAATTCGAATCTGGACGCCAGAGAACTCTCTCTTCTGCTCTACGAGTGGCTAATGCGGACCACCGTTTGGTGACACTAATGTCAGGGCGCCGAGCGCCGTGAGTGGGAGCTCAGGGGTCCTGCGCCAGGCTGGGGGACCAGGCTTGTCCTAGTCACCTCCCTAGGACCAGGGAGGGGACCTGCAAGGCCAGGCGCCTTCTGAGCATAGGAAGGGCTTTCCATTCCTTCCTTCCCTGCACTTCCATCCCCCACTGGATTTCAGGACATCAGGAAATCCCTATCAGGCTCCTTTTCCACCCCTAGGGACGTCGGCTGTCCCTGCTGCCTTCTGGGCACTCACGATTCACGGCGTGCCTAAGATTGCTCAGACACCGACGTTCAGGTTTGGGATCCCCACCTGCAGGCGGAACGGCTCACGGACGCTTGCAACGCCGGCAGCCGCGGCCGTTCATGGGGCTCGCAGGCCCCGGGGCCCGGGCTCAGTCCCTCGCGGGCTTTCCCTTCATTCCGCAGCGGCTCGGCCAGGCGGCGTCATCCCTCGCGGAGAAGGAGCGTCTTAGGACAGAGCGGTTCTCCCACCTGCTCCACAGGAGGCAGAGCAAGAGGCAAAGCCAGGGTGCCAAGCGCGGCGCCCAACGAGCGCGCGGCCCGGCTGGAGCGGGCCTCGCAGGGTTTCCCGCTTCCTCGCACCACCAGGGCCGGTGGGAGCCCCTGGGGCCCTCTGGGCAGGGAGCCCCCTGTTCAGCCCGACTTGACCTGCTCTGACCCACTCTCCTCCCCTCCCAGAGCACCTCCCGGGGCGAGCGGTTCGCAGCCGACGGTCAGCAAACACCTGGCTATTGATTAAAGGCCCCCCGCCCAGGCTCTCTCCGTCCGCCCTGCTCCTTGGGGGTGGGGTTCCGCACCCCCTCTCTCTCCTCTCACGGCTCCTTTCTCGCCACGGCACATTCGCGTTAAACCAGAAGCTCACAGGCCGGCGCCCAGCGCGCAGGGAGAGGGCACGTGTCCCACGCTCGGGCTGAACCGCGGCTGGCCGCCCGCGACGGCGAACCCCGTGCAGGCCGGGCTCCCAGTCCCCTCGCTTCTGCCCGGTTAGGGCTCCTTCTCAGCCCCACGTTTTGCACGCACCTTGCTGGGGCCGCAGGGGTGGTAAGTTGTCCCCGCCGCCCGGTGCCCTTCGGTTCTGTGACGTTCAGCCTGCCTCCTCCAGGGCTGGCGTGACGCGCGGTCAGATCGTCACTCAGATTATCTTCGTAACCTTCTGCAGGAATAAATGACCTCATTCCGTTCAAAGGAAGGGTCTCAATTTGAGTATCTTTTTGGTATAAGAAGAGGAATCTTAACGTGGCTGGAAAAAATAGCGCATCGCATGAACTTGCTAAGAATAGCCACATAACCCAGTGGAAAGTCTCCTGAGTGATAGAAAATAAAGTAAAAAAAATATATATATATAAGGGGAGCTGAGTGCATTTCTGACATATGGATCCCTAAGGGCACCAACAGTCACCAAGCTGAACAGTCGGGCACCCCATGCCTCTGACGGCGACTGAGGGGGTCGCAGCTGTCCCGAGAAATTGCTTTGTGTCCGAATGCAGGACCCGGTCACGCTTGTGCTTTGTTAAGGGGTCACCGTAACTCAAGACCTGGCCAGCGGGCGGGTATGTGAGAGATACGGGGAGATTTCCAAGATTTAGGGTGACCCTAAAACCGGTGAAGAGGCGCTGCTAAGGTTAGGGTGAATGTAACGGGTGAACGTTCATGGTCACGGCCTATATTTTCCTGTTTGGAAGCTGCCAAACTGAAAGGCCCGGGTGTTAGAGACAAAATCTTCAGTGACATTTTGCATTTACAGGTGGCAATTACAACTTGAAATAAGCAGAAACGTGATACAGGAAGGATCAAATCCCATTTGTTTTTTAATCTTTCTTTCTTTCTTTCTTTCTTTCTTTCTTTCTTTCTTTCTTTCTTTCTTTCTTTCTTTCTTTCTTTCTTTCTTTCTTTCTTTTTCTTTCTTTCTTTCTTTCTTTCAGAAAGCAGCTATGGCTCCCATCGATCATGTCCCGGGTCTGGAACTTGATTGCTTTTCTTAAATTCGTTGATACAATCGCCGCGGTTTTCAATGAAACGTTGAGGGCAGGAGTCACCGCTTACAGTTTCATCTCACTTCAGGCCCTTACCGTGCGATGGAGACTGGGTTAACCAACATATTGTTTAATTCTCACAGATTAAACGAGGGGGTCCAACGCTTATTTTCACTTCACTGAGCAAATTAAGGCTCCGTCAGGGCACCGACGCCACAGGGCTGTGACTGTCGCACTAAGTATCTGAGTCCGTAAGGATCGAGGCCCGTTATCTGGGTTGCAAATATTGTACTTTGCTTCATTACCTTTTAATTTTCTCTCGCTGCCCGTAATATTCTTACTTTGTGCCCCAAGATTTAAAAAAGGAACAGGTGTTCGTGCATTTTAAGAATCTCATTAATTTTTAAAAATATAACCGAATATAAACATAGTTTTTTGAAGAAAGCAGATAGAGCTACCGACGGGAATATCGCGCCCGTGTTTTACCTTCAGACATCCGCCTTCCCTCTCTCTTAGAAATATTTCATCAAGACAAGCATGCAGCGAGAAGGTGGGTTTTAAAATATGGTAATTGGGAACCTGGTGAAATATATTTTGCGGTGACGCTCATCATGTGTGTCGAGATAAAAGAAATTAAGGCGGCTTAAGTGTTCCGTTCTCTTCAGAAAAATTAATTACCAAAGCGGTTACGCTGCTGACACTAAACAATAAATCCCTGGATTTAGTGAATTTAAAAAAAAAAAAAAAAAAAAGCTTCCACTTTTTGAAGGTTTGTTTTTTCATCCCACAGGAGAGAGTGATCACATTGATTTTTGGAGAAAGGGAGGGCAGTTTCCATCCGCTGTGTTGAAGTCCAGGCGCGGCGTTCCTGATCGCGGCCTGTTCGCGTCAGAAGCCGCTCGCCACCCGGGGCCGCCTGCAGCTGGCACCTCCACCGTCCGCACTGCTCCTGGTCCTGGCCGGGTGCCCGCCGGCCTCAGGCCCCACCCGGGGCGCCGGGGCGGAGCTCAGCTGGCATCTCGCTTGGGGTTCGGAGTATCACAAGTTCATGGCTGGATGAAATCTCTCTGATGCTGCACAAGTACTGAAAACGTGGCCCTCAGTCCTGCCTGCCTACGGCCACTGCCCGGGAGTTCTTTGGTTTGTTTGTTTTTTTGTTAATTCTCAACTGAGGATATTTTTTCCATTGATTTTTTAGACAGAGTGGAAGGGAGAGAGGGAGGTGGGGGGGGAGAGAGAGAAACATCGACGTGAGCGAGACACGTGGATCGGTTGCCTCCCCCACACCCCCCGACCTGGGCCAGGGATCTTACCTGCAACCCAGGTACGTGCCCTTGACCGGGACTCGAACCCTGGACCCTTTGGTCTACCAGCCAAATGCTCTAACCACTGAGCCACACTGGCCCCTGGGGGATGCCCGGGCCCATCCTCAGTATGCGGGAGGGGGGCCACCGGTAACTGTCTTAGCTGACCTTCGTATCGTCACTGCGATGTTCGGGGTCTTGTCACTTGCTGCTTTCACGGGATCAGAGTCTCGCCGTCACCCTCTCTCTCTTTTGCCCCCAACAAACCCGATGACACAAAGGTTCAAGCCACCGAGGAAGGTCTCCTTCCAGCAAGCGCGGCGACTGCTGCTCACTGCCTTTCAGACGAGCCGTTAATAATTCATAACAATTAACTGAGTTACGGTTCCTCTTTCAGTACGTTCGCAAGCACGGATAGATTAAACGGTAATTGCCGTCAGAGTTTATGTTCCGTTTCATGTGCCCAATAAAAGTTTATCTTTCGGAACCCACTTTGCATTTCCTTTTGATATACTCGTAACCAGGCGCGATATACTGTATTAAAATATTTATTATTAACCTATCAAATATTAACCACTTTTAAATTATACGGATGAAAGAAAACAAACAGGCGACTTAAGCTTTCGTGGTTCTCCTTACTTTAACGTGACTTGGATTTGTAGGGCACGTGGTGTGTGAAACTATAGGAGTTCTTGCCTCCTCTGTAAGTTCTCACAGGGCACGCGGATGCCCTTGGCGGCCCAGCCGCCGCTGTTCTAACTCTAAGTGGTAAAGACGCAGCTCGTGGGCTCCCCACCAGCCTGCCCTTGGCCGAAGTTCACCCTCAGCACCTCATCCTCCGACTCCCCCGCCTCAGGGTGATAGGAATCACCTGGAGATCTCGTTAGCGTGCGGATCAGCCCGGGCGGGGCCTGGGCTCTGCATTTCAAACCTCCAGGGATCTGCGGGCTACCTAGCCGCTCTCAGCCCTGGTTCCCGTACCTGCAAGGCGGGGATAACTGCCCGTAGGGTTTTATGCAGGTTCAGCAAAGCCATGTAGATGGCAAGGGACAGTTCCTGGCACAGGGTGGGCATTGAATAAATAGTGGGCATCGCTGTTATTGTTGAATGCCGTAGGAGAGCTCACCTACGACTTACGATGAGTGTTACACTGGACCGTCTCTAAGCTGCCCCCTCAGGTGTACGACTCTAAGGTCACAGGCCAAAGGAGAGAAGCCCGTGGTCAGGAAATCGAGCTGGCGACGTGGTGCTGAAAGTCGGGTCCTCGGGCTGCAGCAGGAGCGAGGCGCCGTCAGATCCGAGGCCGCTCTTGAACTGTCAGCCCTTCGAGGGCAGGGAGCACGTTTTATTTGTCTTCTGGTGCTAAACTTGATCACAATTCCTGGCTCGCAGTAGGACGTTGATATTTTTTCAATGAATGATAGGGTGACTCATGAACGAGCAAATGAGTGAATGAATGACGCGGGGCAGACGGATGGACTGGCAAACCCTACAGCCAGCCCCGCGCGTCGGAGAGGAAAGGTTTACATGGCTGGGGAGAAGCCTTCGATCGTCCTGATGAACTCGAATTTAGTAACCGAAGGTGAAACCAAGGGCATGGTTTTCCTACAGGGTATGGTGCGACCTGATCTCGGGTGTAAACGAGGGAGCGCATTGACCATGATTGATTCAATCACGTTTGATTAGCTGGGCCTGCCAATAGGTGAAGCGCAGACTCCCCCCTCCCACGACAGTCTTCACGACTCTAGAATAATTTCCAGACCTGATATAATCAGATAGAATCTGTACATCACGTCTATATGTAGTTTAGCATCCTGGGTGCAAAATCAGTAACTTCAATTTTTATTTTAATTAGAACAGAGGTGCAATATCTCAGGAGAAACCTTATAATGCATCCAAATATCTTCTGGGTGAGCTCTAGTGAAAGCCGGGTCAGCAAAATCATTGAAAATGCTGTAACTGTCACCTGTCATTACATCCCCCAAGACATTGCCAAATTAATCCTGGTAACAGGCTCTCGCATAAACTCCCAAACTTTGTCTTTTTTTGCACTTAAAAATCCAAGTGAACGATGCAGTTGTCCATAGTATAGATTTTCATGATAAAGAATACAGATTAACAGAAGACTGAGTCCATAGGGTCAATAATACTAATTAAAGAGAGGTCTAACTGTGATTCCTAAAAATAATTACGTCAATATTTCCTTATTTTGTAGTGTTTTGTCTCTGAGACATATGCCTGTTTCCCCAAACGAGTTGTAGCTCAGAAGAAATAACGACAACACGTAATATTAATCCTATACTTCTGCAGACTATGGGAAGGACTATCGTTAAAAATACATCTGCCCCGGCTGGTGTGGCTCAGGTGGTTGGAGCGTCACCTCGAGCGCCGAGAGGTTTCTGGTTCGATTCCCACTCAGGGCACATGCCTGGGTCTCGGGCTCAGTCCCCAGAGGGGCTGTGCAGGAGGCAGCCAAGAGATGTTTCTCTTTCTCCCTCCCTTCCTCTCTCTCTAAAAAAACAACAAAAAACATTAAAAAAATACACCTTCGCAGTTATTTCTGTTCTAAAATATCCATCCAGGGATGTCTGGGTGATCCTGACTGCTAACTACAGGGATGAGTTAGGGATTGAGGTTGGACACCGAGCGGATGAACCATGAACGGGTCTGAATTTCTGTGTATGTGCCTGTCTCAGGTGAAACCCAACTCGACCCCATTCCCGTCAGCTGCCGTCTATTTGTGCAGGTCTCTTCCCCCCACCTTGCAGTCATGGACGACTAAAGGTTGACCACACTTTTTAAAAAATAAAGAACTTGACAAAGATGGGACAGAGTGGAGATACCACTTACATAGACTTGGGCCATGACATTACTCTATTCCCGTAGGCAGGGCCACAGGATCCAGAATTTCCTGGGTTCAACAGACTCGATGGCACGCGAAAGCCTCAGGACAGAAAAGGCACGGGTTCATCGCACGGGCGTGCACCTGATTCAGAATAATTACCTCTGGTATCAAAGGTGATGGTGAGAAATAAAGTCTCCACAGGATCTGTGTGCATTTCTTTCCCGTGCCCTTGGTGGTGTAGCCTGATATTATTACAGTAATTCTCTCTTCGTGGAGCTTTTTGCTGATATTCGGGGCGACAGGTCGCTCCTGCAGATGGAGACAGAAGGGTTGCTCACACCAACGCGAGCCGCCCTGATTGCATTACGGCCACTCTGACTTCTCTTTCATTAGTGGCTGATTGTCCGAAATTGATGCTAAATTGACTTGGCCGGCGTGGAAGCCTTTAAACGGTTGGCACTACCTATGATCTTGTCCTGGAAATTATATGGTCAAAGCTATCCTGTTTTTGGAAACCCTAACAGTTTTCTCAATGTGAATGAGGGCCCGGTAAATATGAATTAGTTAGGTCCATGCCCCCTTGTTACCCAGGTCCAGGCAGAGGACACGCTTCAATGAAATGGACGGGTTTTGGCTTTTAAAAAAAATGTTCTCTTCTGCCCGGCCGGTGTGGCTCAGTTGGTGAGTGTCGCGTCCTATGGACCAAGAGGTTGCCGGTTTGATTCCCGCTCAGGGCACATGCCAGGGCTGTGGGCTCGATGCCCAGGAGGGGGCATGCAGGAGGCAGCCGATGGATGATGTTTCTCTCTCTGCCTCTCCTTTCCTCTCTAAAATCAATAAAAACATATTTAAAAAATCTTTCTCTCTGCCTCCTGCTTCTTACCCTCTCCACTTCATTGAAAAGCTCCTCTTTTTCTTCATTTCTAACTATGTGTGAGTTAGAAATAAATCAAACTATGATCTGCAGGCCAAGCCCAGCCTTGCTCCTGTTGACTACGGCCCATGAGCTAAGAATGTTTTTTTTTTTTTTTAACATTTTTAATCGACTGAAACAAATCCAAAGGAGAATAGTATTTCATGGCATGTGAAAATTAAATGACATTCAAATTTCGGTCTCCATAAAGAAAATTTCACCGGAACACAGGCAACACTCATTCATTCATGGGTCGTCTACGTCTGATTTCAGGCCACAGCGACAGACAGAGGTGAGTGGTCGGGACAGAGATGACATGGTGCACGAAACCCAAGATCATTGCTATCTGTCCCTTCACAGAAAAAGTTTGCCAACCCCTGGAATAAATCACCAAAGCCTCTGTCTCCATTTGCAAAGTAAAAAAACGACAGAATCCTATAAAATGCCCCAGCAGACTCAATGAACAATCAATACTCACTAATGGCTGGTTTGCCACGTCGCCTGCATTTGAGTTGGGGAAATAACCCGATTTAAATCTCAGTTTTTCCATCTATAAATTGAGGGAAGTAATCTTGTCTTGTACGATAAGATGATGCATTATTTATACTCCTGACACATGGCAAATGCACAATAAATAACTATTTTTACTGTCTGAAAACAATCATTATTATTCCTTAGAAACTGGTCCGTACGCAAACAGGTCAGAAAAAATCATTATTATTCCTCAGAAACTGGTCCACATGCAAACAGGTCAGGCCACTGGCGAGATGTCAGGATCACAGAATTTCAGACCAACAAGCACCTTAGATCATCAAGCCCTGTGTAGGGTTTCACAGGAGGAGATGCAGAGAGAAGGCCAACCGAGGTGGCTGAGTCAACCATCCTTGGGAAGGGGGGAGCAGTCGCACCCAGAAACAGGAGCCGGGACGGGACCCTCCCATCTGGTTTGCCTGTGGCCCCGCTACCCCAGAATCCTGTTGTGAGGGTGTCTGAGGACTAGCCCTTCACCAGAATGAACATTTTCTCCAACAAGTTTCAAATGGGTGGTCTTTCAGGAATTGGGCTGATTTCCCTCCCAAATATATCTTTATTTATTTCAGAGAGAGGAAGGGAGAGAGAGAAACATCCGTGATGAGAGAAAGTCATTGATCGGCTGCCTCCTGCACGCCCCCGACTGGGGATCGATCCCGAAATCCGGGCATGTGCCCTGACTGGGAATCAAACCCTGATCGCCTGGATCCTAGGTCGATGCTCAACTGCTGAGCAACACTGGCCTGGCTGGGCTGATTTTTAAAAATACGTTTTTATTGATTTCAGAGAGAGGGAGGGAGAAGGAGAGATA